AATTAGATAGTGCCTGGCACACAGCACTCAATAAGTGGTAGCTGGGGGTTAGGAGAGGAACTCTATTGGATAAATATATTAGCTAAGGAGGAAGAGTTTTATATATACAAGAAAGAGCTGTACGTGAAGCCTAGTATTCATTTTTCTTCTTTGAGCTCTTGTTGGGGTACTTTTAAGGGGCCTAATGGCATAGAATCAGGAATCAGTATATCATTTTTTCATTCATTTCCAGCTGTCACTCAAACAGTCACTAAAATTGGCTGATCCTCTGCTTGAACTAATGAAACTATCCGGCTCTATGAGAAGCAAGGAACCCTATGAGGCATCCACTGCGGCTTCATTCTTTTCCTCAAATAACATGACTTCATCATGAAACTAAATATCTCCAAGGAGTAGAAGATTTACAGCGTGATTGTATTTGCATGTGATAAGGCAATAAAACTATTTTCTTATAAAAATTACTTCTGAGTCTTAACTTCTTTGAATAGTAATTAGATGGATATTTTAATGATAGATTAAAATGACAGAACAAATCTTGAATAGCACTATATTTTGAGTCGATGCACATTTATGGTTATTTTATTTTGTTAAGTATACAGAGGAGAAATGTGTTCAGATTTTAGAAGCACAGGAGAGAGGGACCCACCATCTTGGGAGGCAGAGGAGTGTGGTGATTAAGAGCCGAGATGTTGGAGCAGAAGCTGCTTAGATTTACATACCAGCTCTAACACTGCCAGCTTTGTGTCTCTGGGCTACAACTAAATCTTTCTGTGCCTTAGTTACCTTGTGTGTAAAATAAGAAACAGTATTACCTACCTGGTTGCTGTTAGAATTAGNACCCAAAGAGTTACCCTATGAAGTCATTACGAGAAAGAGAAGTATATACAAAGCTTATCAATAGGGAAAAGGCTAAGGTCAAGGATTCAGATCCCTGTACAAGCCAGCCGCAGGCAGGCAGGCAGGCAGGAAGGAAGGAAGGAAGGAAAGAAGGAAGGGAGGGAGGGAGGGATGGAAGGAAAAGGAACAATTTCACACACAGAGAACCCTCAGTCAGCAGCTAACTTTGCCAAAAAGAAATATCTAATGTCTTAGCCTATATTTGCCCTAATAAAAATATATTTTACAATTAGCAATTTCAAAGAAGTCTAAAATAAAAGAGAAGTGAATACAAAAGAGTAAAATAATTTCCTAGAAGAAATCTGAAACCTGGCAAAAATTACTAACCTATAAGGATATAAATATACATGTGACATGTTAAAGAATCTTTAAAATAAGTAAGCATTAGTGTAATGTTATAGTAATTAGTTTATAAATGAATAACTTAGAGTATAGATCAAAAATATTTTGTCTCTGGCTTATGTCATCTTTGGATTTCAAAAGTTCTAAAGTGGGGCCGGCCCGGTGGCGCACTGCTACAGTCCACCACTTGGGAGCGCGGTGGCGCTCCCGCCGAGGGTTTGGATCCCACATACAGACCGGTTCCCGCTCACTGGCTGAGCGAGGTGCGGGCGCAGCACCGAGGGTTGCGATCCCGTTGCCGGTCCCGGTCCGGTACGGGCACGACACTGAGAGTTGCGATCCGTTGCCAGACACGAAAAAAGACAAAAAAAAAGTTCTAAAGTGGGTCCCCACAGTACCAGCTGTTCAGTTACAGAAACTATGATCCACTAATAGAAACAGTTAAAGGAATGCAGTAATATTTATATTTGAAATTCTTGACGCTTACTCAAGATAACTTCCAGATCTTGGTAGCAATAAGCAAAATGATGGAAAATGTCCTTTAGAGTGTTCATTAGAATAGAAGGGCAATGTAGACAGAAGTATACTGTTTAATTGTGGATTTCTTAGTCAGCAACCTAAATGAAAGCTATCAATGAGACCATGGATGAATGATAATATAATCACTTGGTTATAAAATAACCAGGACCTGGTTCAAAAAAATTCTTACTGGGCTAATAATAAAGAAAAACCTTGGAGATGACAAAAAATCATATGAAATTGATGCCAGTAAAAAAGAGTAATAACCTCATTGGTGTGTCACTTCTGCTGTCATTGGGGTCTACAGTAGAAAAACAATAGAAGGCCAGGGGTATAGTCTGTCAGTGGAAAGCTTACAAATCCAAATCAGTAAGTAGGCTCAGACTTTAATTTTTTTAATCTAAAAGTGAGGAGACCTGATTCTCATTCTAGATTTATCATCTAATATCTCTGAGTATTATCATCTATGAAATAAATAGGTTGGAACAAATGATCTCTCAAATTCTAGTTCTAAAATTCCATGATTCTATTATACAATCAATAAACAGTTCTTTAAGTAGCTAAAGGATATAGGAAGCCCACAGATACTAAGAGGGAAAAAAAAATCAAACTGATTAGGTATTATGGATGTTTGGTAGATAGTTTGAGAAAAATACACTAACCAATTCAAAACAGGGAAAGTATAACAGTGAAAAGAAATAATATGCTAATTCAACACTGAATTTTTGAACACATTCTCTGTTTGGCACCTTTTGAGAGATAAGACTACTGGAAGTGGTGGATTAAGGTGAAAATCAGCCTGGCTGTGAAGCATAGTAACAATAAGGACAATGACCAGAAAGCATTTCTCAATTTATTTAAAAAAAAAAAATAAAGATAAAAATACTCAGGGCACAAAGTTATCATGAATATTAAATAACTCATATTAAATAGCCAGCACATGGTCTGTAACACAGAAAGCTCCCATGTTAGCTTCCTTTATCCTTATTGATTAGGGTACTGGAGATACACAATAACATGGTAGATNACCCAAAGAGTTACCCTATGAAGTCATTACGAGAAAGAGAAGTATATACAAAGCTTATCAAGAGGGAAAAGGCTAAGGTCAAGGATTCAGATCCCTGTACAAGCCAGCCGCAGGCAGGCAGGCAGGAAGGAAGGAAGGAAGGAAGGAAGGAAGGAAGGAAGGAAGGAAAGAAGGAAGGGAGGGAGGGAGGGATGGAAGGAAAAGGAACAATTTCACACAGAGAGAACCCTCAGTCAGCAGCTAACTTTGCCAAAAAGAAATATCTAATGTCTTAGCCTATATTTGCCCTAATAAAAATATATTTTACAAGTAAATTAGCAATTTTAAAGAAGTCCAAAATAAAAGAGAAGTGAATACAAAAGAGTAAAATAATTTCCTAGAAGAAATCTGAAACCTGGCAAAAATTACTAACCTATAAGGATATAAATATACATGTGACATGTTAAAGAATCTTTAAAATAAGTAAGCATTAATGACATGTTAAATAATCTTTAAAATAAGTAAGCATTAGTGTAATGTTATAGTAACTAGTTTATAAATCAATAACTTAGAGTATAGATCAAGAATATTTTGTCTCTAGTTTATGTCATCCTTGGATTTCAAAAGTTCTAAAGTGGGTCCCTACAGTACCAGCTGTTCAGTTACAGAAACTATGATCCACTAATAGAAACAATTAAAGGAATGCAGTAATATTTATATTTGAAATTCTTGGTTTACTCAAGATAACTTCCAGATCTTGGTAGCAATAAGCAAAATGATGGAAAATGTCCTTTAGAGTGTTCATTAGAATAGAAGGGCAATGTAGACAGAAGTATACTGTTTAATTGTGGATTTCTTAGTAAGCAACCTAAATAAAATCTATCAATGAGACCATGGATGAATGATAATATAATCACTCGGTTATAAAATAACCAGGACCTGGTTCAAAAAAATTCTTATTGGGCTAATAATAAAGAAAAACCTTGGAAATGACAAAAATTCATATGAAATTGATGCCAGTAAAAAGAGTAATAACCTCACTGGTGTGTCACTTCTGCTGTCATTGGGGTCAGCAGTAGAAAGACATTAGAAGGCCAGGGGTATAGTCTGTCAGTGGAAAGCTTATAAATCCAAATCAGTAAGTGGGCTCAGACTTTAATTTTTTTAATCTAAAAGTGAGGAGACCTGATTCTCATTCTAGATTTATCATCTAATATCTCTGAGTATTATCATCTATGAAATAAATAGGTTGGAACAAATGATCTCTCAAATTCTAGTTCTAAAATTCCATGATTCTGTTATACAATCAGTAAACAGTTCTTTAAGTAGCTAAAGGATATAGGAAGCCCACAGATACTAAGAGGGGGAAAAAAATCAAACCGATTAGGTATTATGGATGTTTGGTAGATAGTTTGAGAAAAATACACTAACCAATTCAAAACAGGGAAAGTATAACGGTGAAAAGAAATAATATGCTAATTTCCAACACTGAATATTTGAACACATTCTCTGTTTGGCACCTTTTGAGAGATAAGACTACTGGAAGTGGTGGATCAAAGTGAAAATCAGCTTGGCTGTGAAGTATAGTAACAATAAGGACAGTGACCAGAAAGCATTTCTCAATTTATTTAAAAAAAAAAAATCAAGATAAAAATACTCAGGGCACAAAGTTATCATGAATATTAAATAACTCATATTAAACAGCCAGCACATGGTCTGTAACACATAAGGCTCCAATGTTAGCTTCCTTTATCCTTATTGATTAGGGTACTGGAGATACACAATAACATGGTAGATGTGACCTAGTGCATAAAATTAACAGACATTTAAATTTCAATGACTTCATTTTTTCTGTTATCATTGAGTGTAAACTACATTTTTATTTATCTTTGGAGTATTTAGGACATCTTCCTGTAAATCCCAAGCTGATGACAAAGTTTCTTCATTGCAGCCTTCATCTCTTTGTTCCTGAATGTATAGATAACAGGATTCAGAAAAGGAGTAAGAACGACATCAAAGAGAGCAAGAAACTTGTCCAAGCGTGATGAGGGGAAGGGCCGGGTGTAGAAGAAGATTATTGGCCCAAAGAATAAAACCACCACAGTGATGTGAGCTGACAGAGTAGAAAGGGCCTTGGATAACCCACCGGAAGAGTGTTTCTGAACAGTGACCAGAATGAAGATGTAAGAAATGATCAGTATGAAGAAGGAGCCCACAGAGATGAGTCCACTGTTGACTGTGACCATGAACTCTGGTCTATTGGTCTCTGTGCAAGCAAGTTTAATGAGCTGAGGGAAATCACAGTAAAAGTTGTCCAATACATTAGGGCCGCAGAATGGCAAGTCCATAACAAAAGCCAATTGGGCCACTGAGTGGATAAGGCCAAGAATCCAGGCAGCAGCCAAAATTAAAATGCACATTTGTGGGCTCATGATGGTCACATAGTGGAGAGGCTTACATATAGCAACATATCTGTCAAAGGCCATGGCTATGAGCAGCACCATTTCCGTGCCCCCAATAGCATGAATAAAGAAGACCTGAGTTATACAACCCCCAAAAGAGATGGCTTTGCATTTTCTGAAAAGATCATAAATCATTTTGGGAGCTGCAATAGAGCAAACTCCCAGGTCAAGAAAGGAGAGGTTGGCCAGCAGGAAGTACATGGGGGAGTGTAAGTTAGAGTCAGAGGTCACAGAGAACACAATGAGGAGGTTTCCCACCAGACTCGCCATGTAGAACACAGAAGAAAAGAGGAAAAGAAAGAGCTGGATCTCCCAGGAATTGGAGAGTCCTAGGAAGACAAACTCAGACACTACAGAGAGGTTGGCTCCATCCATTGCCTCTGTGAGCAGAGCTGACCCTAACACAACCTGAAAAAGAAAGCAAAGAGAAAATCAAACCTGGTGGGCGGTCATTGATCACATGAGTTTCAAGTTGTAAAAAAAATTGCCTTATCTCACAGAGTCTAAACACCTCTATATATTAAACTGTAGTTGCAGAAAACAGGCAGTAAGTCATCGCCACAAAGCACCGCTTCTAACTCCCCAGACTCCCTAAAATACTCCAGGTTTTGAGAAAAGAAAATTAGGCAAAACAAGTGCTGAATCAGACAGAATTATGATAGGGCTTGGAATGCCCTGGAATAACAAGGGGCGGGGGGAGGAGGAAATGAAAACAAATTCAATTTCTCTGTCATAATTTGTTACACCTGCCCATGGAATTCCCCAAATCTAAGGAAATTTCTAACGACCTTTATTTTTCTTACTTCTTTGATTGCTCCTATATGCAGGGCTATGACATTAATACTCTCTCAAGGTTAGTCTTATGCTACTGCAGTTTTATCAAATCATATTCACCTTTTCCTCATACATAGAGAAGGCAATGTAGAAAACGTATCCCGCTTTTGTAGCTCATCCCAGGGAGTGGAGGCTATCGCCACGTCTGTGCTGTGACAGCATTATGGTAAATTAAAGACAAAGTCAGAAAAGAGAAATATGTTGCAGAATTTAAACATGGATAGAGTAAATACAGTGTAGCAAACAAAATTCCATGTGATTGATATTTGTCGATCATTGTCCATGCCATGTTAACTTTTCATGGTTCATGGAATAGTAGAAAAAACTTTGCACTTGGAATCAGAAGAGTGTGATCAAGTCCGAGCCCTAAGCCTGTGGGAACTTGAGTAAGTTCTTTTCTCGTTCCCTCTACACTAAACTCATTCCTGAACTCAATTTCATCAACTGTAAAGTAAAGGGGCTGAGGCAGATGATGTTAAGTAATCCTCCCAAGTCTAACACTTCTATTATTTTATAATATGATGTCAGCGCAGTATATAATGAAATTTACCATAATGATAGTATTCTCTGCATTGAACTGCTACCATATTCACCATCTTTTCCTTTGTTTGCAGTTGGTTATAAATTGCATATCCAGTGGCAGACCCTGTCTTCACATTAGTCTCCCTGTTTTCTAATTCCTTTTGTCACTGATTAGCATATTAACTTTTTTTATTAGTAGTATATTATTGAAAATTTGCTGGATCATTTATTTTTCCCATTATCACAACCATCTGTAATCAACCAACAAACATTTACTAGATGCCTACTATGCACAATGGACACTGTAGACTTACTAAAGTATTAAAATATTCACTATCCTTAAGTCTTTTACATTTTAGCACACCAAAAATATACAAATAAAAAATGTACCATATAAAAAATGTTAAATAAGTAATATGAATGATCATAAGATTTTTGAAGCAGAAAAAATACTCAGGAGACAAAGTGATCAGGACTGTCTTTAGAAAGAAATTAGAACCTATGGTGCACTTGAAGAGATAGATCTAATTTATTTCAGTATAAAGTTTTATGTGCGAGATTAAAGGATCTCTGAGACACTATTAGGGAATATCTCCCAGTCTGGAACAACAGTTGATAAGCTATCTATGGAAATAATGATAACAACCAAAAATAGCAGCTACCATGTGCAAGACACCACAATTACTCCTTATGTACACTATCTTGTTTGATATTTACAACAACGGTGACAGTTAATATTATTGGCTCCCTTTTTTTTTTTTTTCTTTTCAGTTTGTAGCTTCAGAAGCTGCAGGTGCAGCCACACCAGGGGCCAATTTAGCCATGGCTAGAGTAGTTTTGGCTCCTTTTTATAGTTAGGGAAATCAAGATCAAAAGAGGGGAAGTAAGCTAGAACAGTAAGAAGTAGAACTGATATACTTTGGTCTGCCTCTTATCCAGTATGTACAGAAAACTTTACTTTTCTACCAGGGCTTTCTCATTGTTTGACACACCTCAGTCCCTTTCTAAGTGCACCATGTTCTACTCTCAGGACTCTATGCACATATAAGAGAGAGTGAAGAAGGCAGCTTTGTCTTCAAATACTCACAAGCATCTGGGTTTCTTAAGCTACTTCAAATGCATCCATAATTCACCCCAGCTTTATAAATAAAGATGGTAGGAGAAGGCATATTCGCATAATACCTGCAACTCAGAACATCCTGGTTGAGTTCCCAGATCGCCATTGTCTTGATCCACATGAAATTCTTTAGCTTCCTTAGAAAAAACTCATCTCTTACTACTCTCTAATCAATGGAGAAAGCAAAGGTGCTCTGTCTCCATGTCAAGAAATGAAATAAAGCCCAGAATTAAAGCAAGTCAGATTCTATTACCACTTAAAGACTGCCTCCTAACCGTTCTAATTCACCTTTTTGGGATCTCAACCCTGGATGACACACCTCAATGTGAATGACGATGGGTTTTTTTAAAAAAAGGTAATTTCAATTTCTGACTTCATGTTCTTTTTCTTCTCGTTTGTATTGGTTCTTGCTAATTCAGCTCAACTGAAGCTTCTTCCCTTAAGCAAGGTAACATTTAATTGATTTCTATACAAAACAATCCGGTCACCAGGAAGATCTATTCAATATTGGCCCTTGGGAACTTCAGCATTGTACACCAATATCCCTATGCTATTTCTGTATTTGCCACCCATCTACTCATTTGAAGACCAAAGGTGTGTCTATTTCCAAACACTTAAACACATTCAACCTTCCCTTGGTTGGAACTAGCATTCCTTCATGCACAAATTGCTATAAAAATGCTATTATTATTATGGGAGATATGGCTAATTGGCACACAGGGGAGTACTAACCAAATGATACTGCAGAGATGGAATCACCAATATGAGCTCATTTATTCAAGGTAATTGTCACCCACAATCCTGCCAAGCCATCAGAGAAAGATACAAATGAGTCACAAAGTAGGTGGTAGGGGGAAGATATCAAAAATGGAAGGATATAAAAGACCTAATGTACATAAAAAATAAGCCTAAAGTACATAAATAATAAGGAAGATCTAAATAACATCATACTCTGAAACCTAAAACAAAGACCGTTCCTTCTTTTCAAGTACTCATGGAGGCCATGTACATGACTATATACTATACCACAATAAATTTCAAAAAAATGGAGACAGTACAGATAACATACTCTAATTATAATCTAAGAAAACTTGATTTTAATAATAAAACCAAAAAATAAACTGAAACCTGAAAAAAATTTAAACTACTCCTAGATATAACAAATGCAAAAAAAAGATACAAATATATCTTTGTAAAAACTGAGAAAATTTGAAAATGAACTGTGTATTTGATAACATTAGAAATTCAGTATGTTTTTTGTTAGACCACATAATGATCATTTTTTAAATATTTTTAACTCTACAAGATTAGTGAAAATGTTCATTAATAAAGGAGTAGTTAGATAAATTACAGAATATCCATACAATGGAATGTTATAAAGCCAAAAGAAAAAACTGGGGAAGCTCTGTTTATATAGATATAAAATGCTTTCAAATTGTAGAAAACCATTAGTATTTTTAAAAGGGAAGGTGTAGGAGATAATATTTTACATGTGCACAAGAAAAATAAAAAATACATAAAAGAAAAAAGTATAATTTCTTGACTGGGAAGAGGAATTGGATGCCTAAATAAACTTTGGTAATTTTTAATAGAAATTTCTTATTGACCATTTTTATTTTAAAAATAAGAAGAAAGAATACTCACTCCAAAAGGTTTATTTTATGAAATCTTCCCCTGTAGCTAGTGCTGTAGGCACTAGCATTTGAATTTAACATGTCCTGTAAACCTTTAGTAGACAGTTAGGGATTGAGGGAGACTCCAGAATAGTCCATGAGATTTAAGCACATAATTTTGAAGTGGAAAACACTTTGGCAAAAATATATTGTAAAGCGAAAATTAAAAGAAAAGCATGAAGATATGAATTCTTCCTAGGTTAATCTCTAAATTTAACATGATCCCAATAAAAGTATCATCAGGCTTTCTTCAGGAGCTAGATAATTTAATTATAAATTTCATTTGAAAGGACAAAGAAGAATAGCCATGAAACCCCGAATAGGGAAGTCAATGGAAAAGAGGAGGAGGAAGAAATATTAACAGATATTAAATACTAACAGATATTAAACTATATTAAAAAGCCTCTATGGGGGCTGGCTGGTTAGCTCAGCTGGTTAGAGCGCAGTGTTGTAACACCAAGGTCAAGTGTTCAGATTCTCGTACCAGCCAGCCACCAAAAAAAAAAATAGTAGTAGTAATGTATTATGATTGTAGCATATATGGATTAAAATGTATGACAACAATAGCACAAAGAATGACTGTTGTATGTTTCTTACACTATACGTGAAGTGGTATAATATTATTTGAAGTGAGACTATGATGAATGTAATACATGTATGGTAAATTCTAAAGTAAACACTAAAAATAAAACAGTGATGTATAGCTAATTAGAGAAAAATAAGAACAAATTAGCATTGAATTTCGTAATGATTTCATAATGATAAAGGACTTAATTCTTCAGGAGACATAATTCGAAATGTATATGAGCTGAATTATAGAGCTTCAAAATACATGAAAGAAAAACAGATTAAAGTCAAAGCATAAATAGACAAATCCATAATTATACTTAAAATTTATCAAAAGGAGAGAACAAACCTATAGTTACTAGAAATGGGAAAGCGGGAGGGGAGTTATGGAGTAATTTGGTAAGAGACACAAAAAATAATTATGATTTATAATGATGTGCGTGCTAATATTGATCTGGGTATTGCACAGTGTACACAAATACTGAGAGTCAACTCTGTAACT